ATTCCATTATGCAAAGACTTCGTTATTCTTATTCAGAAATTGGAAATCAATTGGAAATTGTGAAGTGTTGATTATAATAATGTTGTTTATAATAATCGTTATTTTCATAGGAATGAGAAATAGATCGATCGGTACGCACAATATGAATGAATATTCCAGCAGAAGCCATTCGATTTTGACTGTAAATATAACTTCTGAGCAAGCAGTAAGTGAATATGATATTTCGAGATATTTATTCATATTTCCCTTGAGACGAAGATGAAAATACACTCAAAGATAAGCGTTGGAAACATCAGAATAACATATCGGTATTTCTGCCGCTTATTAGCTGCTAATAAAGGTTCAATTTATTTTATCGCTATTTTGCGCTGTGTAATCATTTGCTTACATTAAAAATTAATAAACAATAAATATACGAATAACCAGCATTCATCTTTTAACAAGACAAAATTGATTTTCTCCATCACCGGCCAATTTATTTTATACCGTCATTTCTTTCCGCGAGAATCGAATTAATTATTTATAACGAGAGCTAATATAAGTATCTCTCGCGTCAATAGATGGAGAATGGTGTATTTATCTCGAAACAAGGCAAAATTAATTTCGTGGATCTTGCTGGAAGCGAAATGACGAAGAAAACCCAAAGCGAGGGCAAGACCTTGGAAGAGGCGAACAATATTAACAAAAGTCTCATGGTATTAGGTGAGTCTTAATTAATTATAGCTGTGTGTAGAAAAAATTATTGTTCCAGAAATATTTTTCGATATCCGAATTAAAAGAACGGCAATTTTTTCTATATAACTCGACAATTAAAATAAAACTTATTCATGTTACAACCGATACTATAGGCTTGTTTTTTGTTGCTGCACTGGACTGCATTAAAACTTTCCATTTCGCTTTCATCAAATATATTATATATATCTATTTCATTTTACAAGTGTATATTTAGTTCAGTCACAAAGAAGCCCTAATGTAAACTATAATAAATGAAATTGCGTCACACTTGACTATCATTTTACTATAAATAGCGATAATAATTCATTTATCAGAAAATTAGATTAGATCTTGACTTTGAAATTGCAGTGCGTTTATTATTTAGAATAGTTGAAGTAATCGATAGCTAGACTATTAAATTACTGACATGTGAAAAGACGTGCCTTCCATATATGGAAAATAATCGATAAACTTTCGCGATAACGGTCGTGAAACAAAATAATAAGAAGTTTTTCGCAAAAAGTCTTCCCGGGTAGTACATTTCATAAAATCATCCGAGAAAAGCACGATACTTTTTATTTATAATTTCACCAGGTTTCTAACTTTTTAAATTTGAATTTCTGTCGTAGAAGGATAAATGTCACTTATACATTTTTCACAGGATACTGCATTGCTTCTTTGAGTGATGGAAAACGAAAAAGTGGTCATATTCCTTATCGGGACAGTAAATTGACAAAACTTTTGGCCGACAGTCTTGCTGGAAATGGCGTCACGTTAATGGTGAGTTGATAAGTGAATTTTCGTAGCAAATTGATTCGCGATTGATAACGATGTTTCCACAAAAACTTTATCAGTTATTTACTTTATTGTTTACGCGATGAATGTTCTAATGATCTCTATTCCACCGAGTTTAGAGTTGAGTCAAAGTGCAAGAACTGACTAACTACAGTCGGGCATTCCTCTATCGACTGTAAGAGGAGAATACTTGACTATGACTAGTCAATTCCCACACTCCCCGATCCAACTCTAGCCCTCGGGGAAAACTTAGTCATAGATGTAAATTCCAATTCACTCAGTTTTTGCAATTGTAACTTTAATAATATCGGTAATTACATATTTAGTTTGCCTGCGTTTCACCGGCTCGTTCGAATGCCAATGAAACATTAAACACCTTGAGATACGCCGCGAGAGCCAAGAAGATCTCCACGAAGCCTATTATAGTGATGGTAAGATTATTTGCTTCGAGTGGATTTTAGAAGAGATTTTTAAATGCCTCACACTCATTTTTTTACAGGATCCACGTGAAGCTCTTATTCTTAGTTTGAAGCGTGAAGTGGGGGCTCTTCAGACCGAAAACGACCATTTAAGGATGACTCTTCATCTCAGTAACGAAGCTCAAAATATGCACCGCAGCGAATCGAAAAGTATTATTAGCATACAATTAGCTTGTTATTCATTTCTTATCGATAATATCACGATTGTAATAGACATAATCTATATGTCACGATAAATGCAAGAAATAATTCAAACTATTGGCATAATTTTAAAATAAGAGTAAAAAAAATTAGTGTAGGAATTTGTTTTGCTAATTGTTGAATCTTCTACGTATATCAACTTTCTAAAAAAAATCCTAATCACTAATAAAAAATAAAGAATTAATGATTCAATAAATTCAATAAATAACGGAACAATATACACAAAAATAATATTTTTTAATAATCTCAATTATTAAAAAATATTATTTTTGTTACATTTTGTTATATTTTAGTTAAAATAATAGTGATAAATCGATTAAATCAATTGCTACTTTCAAAAGTTAAGATTTGATTTTGCAGAATAATAACTTGTTGACAATTCCTATATTTCTTTCTTTCTATTATCCTCATCGATCGTTTGCAGGCGAAAGACTGATACCCGTGACACCGCCACCGGTGGATCTCGAGAAATTAACCGAGATGGAGAGTTCGGAACTGAGCCAATTGATCCAAGCATACATCACCGAGAACGAGGCACTACGACGAGAGAATGCGGAGCTTTATGCCACGCGGGACCAAGTGATACGGGATCAGGAACTCGTTTGTCGGGAAAACGAGAGGCTGCTCAAGAAACTTGAGGACGTAAACTTGTAAGTCAGCTGAATGATATTTCCAATGCGAGCGTTCAAAGATAAATATTCGAAACATATATGTTATTATTAGTGCTTGCAGACAAATAATTCGAAACGCGTACCTATTTTTGTATATTATTTTTGTTGGCCTTTCGTGTCATATTTATATTTGAATCGAATCTTTTAAAAATATTCTGTATAACTTCATAAATATGCTTTTTTCATAATATCGAAAGATTTATATTTCAAGAAATTTAAGAGAGCTATCTTGCGTATTTCATGTAAAAAATATTTTATGAAATTAAGATAGTTCTGTTTAAATTTTCTCTACTTAAATTCATAATAATGCGATTTGGCTGTCCCAGTTCTTTTTTCTTAGACTTAATGTTTTGCATTTAGCGAATCTGTATAATAGATATTTTATGATATCTTACAGAGTTTGTTGCCGATCACCCATAATACCAGCGAGACCTTCGTATTCAGCGGAATTATTTTTAAATGAAAACAACGAAGACGTACCTGGTGCGACTAATGTTTGGACGAATCCGAATGTTGCTCCCAGTCCGGTGTATTCCTTTTCAAAGGTACGATCGAAGTCCACCTAAAACGATAAATTGTATTTGATGAAGGAATTAAGTCACACTAATTGTAAGAGAAAAATTTTTGATTTGTGTAAAAAACAATTTTGTATCTAAAAATTTAGATAAATCTAAAAATATTTTTGTCAAATCATCAATAATTATACAGGAAACTTAAACATGATGAGCAATGCTGCAAAAGTTTTAACATTCTAGCAAGTAGTTAGTTTTTAAACATATAATTATTTTAATAGATAAATAAAATTACTTTTAAATTTGTATTTAGCTTAATTTTTAGATTTTGTTTCAGCAAAACCGTTCTGTCCATAAGATTATAATTACATGGTACTACAGTTATGATTATTATAGTTATTATTTAAATATAATTATTATTACCTACTATTATAGTATCTATAATTATGGTATACAGTTATAAATATAAACATTTTTTTTAAATATATTTATTATAAAATAATGTATGAGACTAGAGGAGAGAGAGAAAGAGAGTTCTCGTTAGATTAAAAGTTTATTAGATATCATTGTGTTTCAAAAGAAATTTAAGACTTCACTTCATGCTATAAATACACCATACATAATATTTTCAATTTTACTATATATATCTTCTCTTAGCATACTCTTGGTAGCGGATTGTACATATCAGCCGGCAATATGCCAGAGAAGGTATTGAAGGAGCTCGATAAGCGCAGAATTGTTGGCAGTTACAATAACATTGCGGAAGCCTACAAGGACAAGAACAGTCACCGTCGACACAATTCATGGGACAACAGTAATCGGTCTATGATCAGCCCGGAACAAAGAATCTCGCCGATTGATATAAATCAGTAAGTGGCTTGTTCTTAATGCTATTTAATTCATTGATTACTCTAACGAGTAAGTTTTTGAATATATAACGCCTTACTTATATCATTATATTATTACAATAATTTAATAATTACTTCTTACATAATTATTTTGTTATAGTATTATAGCATTATCCTTTTTTTGCAAAAAATTTGCGTAACTATTTATCTTTCTCTGATTTTATTGTTATATTATATTTTTATATATCGTTATATTATAGTTTATTTCAAAATTATATACATATATATATAATTTATTTCTTTTTTAACTTTACTAGAAATATTTTCTAGAGATATATTTCTTGTGTGACTGAGTGAATGTAAATGTACATCAAGCTTGTAATAAGAAGCTTACATTGAATGATCGTATCGAATTGCATCAAACGTGATACTTAGCAAACGTGAATCTCTATATCTACGATGAAAAATTTTGGAAATGTTTTTTCCGAAAGAAAGTTCCGTATCTAATTATTATTTTGAGATGCATTGACTGATACGGAATCTGAACTGTTTTAACTAAAAAAATGACAGAAAAAAATCTTCGTTTCTAATTGTAAGTAAAATATGTTTGTCGTTGTTTTTGTTCGGCTTTTATATTAAACACACAAAGTATGTTTTGCAGATTTTTACAAAATATTTACACGATTCTGGAATTTAAAACATTATGTAATTAATCTCGAAGAAATTCTGAATCCGATTATACATATATAATGTAAGCTATTTTACATTTCGATCTTAATCTGAGATAAGAGTTTTCTGAGTTTTATCTCGTTGAGAACATCCTGTTCCAAGCAACACAATTTAAAATTGGGATAATAAAATCTTTTAGACAGTTCTCGCAAAGATTCTTTATTCAAATTTGAGAAACTTTAAAGAAGCCTTTAAGACATCTTTTAAGACATCTCATGTCCTGATTTTGAATTTTGTGTTGTCTGGACATCGTTCTCTGAGATATCATGTTTGACGCTTGCCACCCGTACGCCCCAAACCCGGACAAAGCCAGCTAAACTAACCAAAGGCACACGCGGTGACAGTCAAGGTCAAAGGACGACCTTGCGACGCACCTCGACGGTCCCTGAAGAGAGTAAGCCTCCACCGTCGAGGTCGAGGTCGAACGAATTGCCTGCTGCGCACAGCATCACCACCACAACCACCACCTCTACCGCTGCGACCACCACCAATGTCGCTACCGAGATACATGCCGAGCAATCTAACGGATCGCCTGATTCAATCCTAAGCGGCTCTCTCGAGGAGGGCGGCAATTCCGCCCCCGACTCCGCGGACTCGGTCGCTCCCACCGTCCCTTTCCCGCCGATATCACACTCGCCCTCATCCTTTGCGATGTCGGAATCGGAACCGCGGAACCGCAGCAAGTCGCGAGCCAGTACAGGGAAGGACAGGAGGAACGCCGAGGGAAGAATCCAGGACGAGCACCGGGCGTTCGGCAGTCCAGTCCCCGTCGACGATGACGATCGATTTTGAGAATCTTTCGACGAGGAGACGAGATCCCGACGGTGGTGCTGCTTCATCTTGAGGGAATGCTACATGCAAAAAGAAAAGAAAGACAGCCTTGCTCTTTTTTGTTGTGAGAAACATCGAGTGACCGAGTGACGTTTATTTACACACCAATCATATACGATTACTCATAATTGTAACTGTAAAATACACTTCTACACACACAGATAAAGTCTTTCTGTTAGTTTGTAAATCGTCTCCGTCGAAGATTTCTAAAGAAAAAAAAACCTGATGGGAGTTGTACAGAATAAAATATAGATCAAGTAAAATTGTGTAAAAGGATTGACGAATTAAAGCGGATTGAAAGAAAGTTTTTGCGTACATATAGATCCGTGCGTCCTTTTCCCTTATGTCTTCTCTCAGAATCCGTAGATTTCTTTAACAATTTTAGATATCTGTATTTTAAATGAACATTTAAGATAGATGTAATATTTACGATACCTGTATTTTTAATTGACATAGTTATATTTCCTTTATTCAGAGCTCGAAATCCTTCAACATAGCGAATGCGCGTTGCAGTGCAAAAAAATGGCGCGTTAATCGTTTTTTCACGAACCGTCAATTCTTATTCGATAATAAGAATCGTTCCTCGCGAACTCTTATATTATAGAAATATATCCGGAATCGTCATTTTGCTGCTTTATTGCCGTTCCTAAGATTCATGATTGACGAACATTTGGCGACTGATTGCGAGAATGCGAAGCCCACGCGTGATGTAAGACCGCATGTTTCGTTTTCCTTCGCAAACACTTTTAAACTGTTCCAGCTCGCAATTGGTACATTCAGAACACGTCATTGTGAGAAACGCGCTCCGATTGGCCGCGCACTTCTCGAGCATCTCGATCCCTCGCTGCGCCACGACGCGCGTCACGTGACGCGTCATCGCGAACTCGCGCTGTAATTGGCTCTCGCGCGCCGCCAACATAACGCGCGAACGACGCGGATTTCGAAATCCCTTACACATCAAATTTGTTCATTTCTACCAATATAGACTGATTTTAATCTCGGTTTATCTTACTTTTTATTTTTTTCAGAATTAGAAAAGATAAACAGTAAATTAAACTAAGATTAAAGTTATTTAAACTAATAGAAATAGACATTAGAGCGGCTTCAATCAAACTCCAATTAATTTAATCAACAGTATTTTATTAAGTAATACGGACAAAATTATCAACTTAGTTAGATTTAATGTATCCAAAAAATATTAAAAAGAATAAACTGTATATTAGAGGATTTATCTTAAGCAATTTTACTGGTCAAATTAAGTTAATTGAAGTTTGATCAAAGTCGTCTTTATTCTCCCATCTCAAAGTAAAAACTTACATTTATATTTTAGCAAAAAAAAAGAAAGAGTTAAAATCAATACATCGCGAGATCGTTCACTCAAGTGAATACGAAGACTTTCTTTCATCAAGACGTACGTAATCTCGATTCGGATAAGACCAATCATTCTTACATGCTTAGAAAAGACAGTGACTGTACTTGCATTTTTAAAATTTGTCTTTCTCGTTACTTACAATCGGTTTCTCAAATTTAATTCGAGAGTATATACTTGGAGTAAAATTAAAGAAATTCAAATGTCGAATTTAATAAACAAAAATCACAAAATACACGGATGATATACATCATAAATGAATTGAATTAAATCATCGATGCGCGCGCGCCGATTCTAGAATTCTCTTTATTCGTGGAGCGTCCAATCGGAGTCGATCGCGGCACAAGCGACAACTTCAGACGACAGCGAGCGAATCGACGAATCCGTGTAGCAACAGCGAATAGAGAGTGCGCGAGGGGGTTGGGCGAGGAACGCGGTGGAACGCGGCGGCAGCGGGTAGGTAGGCGGCAGCGTCGGTCATCGGTAAGATCAGGCGGAACGGTGTGTGTGAACGCGGTTCGAGGCTTTCGCGTCAGTCGACGTCAGTCGACATTCTCAGCCAAGGGACAAAGGCATTGGCGGTGGTCTACGAACGAACGCGAAGTTGGAGACAGTCACAGACCCCGGGATAGGCACGAGGGTCGAAGGGTATTCACGAGTTTGCAAAACTGCAGCGCGGCAGTGGCGGTCGAACAGGAGCAAGGAAGTGGAGTGGAGAGAAGAGGCGGAGAGTGGTGGGGGCGACGTGTGCGACGGCACTGATGATAGCAGTGTGAGGTTGGTCGTGCGCGTCTGTAGCTAGGTACCTGTCTAACGTGCTGGTGTCGTCGCCGAGGTGCATTCGAGATTCGGCGAGCCGTGTGTGCGGCGCGGGTGGCAATCGCGAAGTCGAAAGTAGCGTGAGAAGAGAGAGAGAGAGGTAGAGTGAGGGAGCGAAAAGAGGGAAGGGTGAGAGAAAGAGAGAGACAGAGAGAGAGAGAGAAAGAGAAAGAGAGGGAAAGAGTGAAGGCACAATCAGGGGAAATAATCGACGGCACATAATCCGACGTCCCCGTGAACACGTCCGTCAAGTCCTCCGATGTCTAGTGCTGAGGTGGCGGACAGCTCCGTTGATCCCCCAGCCAAGAAGCGACGCGTTGGTGCTGCCAGCACGACGGGAGGAGCCGACGACGAGCTGACGACGACGAACGTGGCAGAGATGGACGTAGATATGGCGAAGAATGGCTCCACGAGCTCCAGCAGCGGCAGCGGCAGTGGCAGTACCACCGGCCGGGCGCCCGCTGAAATCGACGAGGGTTTATACTCCAGACAGCTCTATGTCCTTGGACACGACGCCATGCGCCGCATGGCGTCCTCGGACGTGCTCATCTCCGGCCTCGGTGGACTCGGCGTCGAGATCGCTAAGAACGTCATCCTCGGCGGTGTCAAATCCGTCACGCTTCACGATCATGCCGTGTGCAAATTGGCCGATCTAGGCTCGCAGTTTTATCTTACCGAAGCAGACGTAGGTGAGGAAACGTACGCGCGCCGAACAACGCCGGTCGGAAACATGTGAGACGCGCCAAAGGTCAAGAAAAGCGCGCGCGTTTTTTTTATTTATATAAGCAGTGAAAAACACAGATTAAAATTAAAAGACATAACCAGGAAAATACAGATTTAAATTCAAGGGCATAACATAACACATGTTATTTTGCCTAATTTTTTGGACAGTTTATGTAAATTGTGGAACTTATTCTTGTACTGCACTAGACTGCATTAGAATTTGCTTTCTCACTTTAACCAAATAACAAAATATATGTATATTTATTTTATTTTAAGTTTTAAAAGTGTATACTAGTTCAGCTGTAGAAAAACCTTGGAAAAACAAGAAGTCTACTGAAAAGAAAAAATATAGTACTATGTTTTAAAAGGAGTAGATACGTATAAAAATATATAGTGTTTTCTCTATGAAACTAGAAGTTTTCTGTTTTCTGTAGCTGAATTAATGTACACTTTTGGAACTTAAAATGAAATATATATATTTGATATTTTTTTTTTTTTTTTGGTGAGAGCGAGGAACAAAGTTCTCTAGTACAGGAATAAAAAAAAATAGACATTTGTTTTAATTGCACTTTACTTTTTTTACGTTAAAAATGAAATTTGATAAAAAAAATGAACGAATTAAAAATTAATAGGTTTTATATGTTTGCAGGAAAAAAGAAAAAAATATTGGAGTTTTTTTTATTTATCACAAATTCGGTTTTAGTTCTTCGCGATAAATAACTTGCGCAATTCGAATCTATACAATGATAAGATTTAAATTGAGATATGGCACAGCTGTTGCTATTGTCAAGCAAATTATAATTCTGTTGCACCATACGATTACATTGTTACTACTTTTCTTATGCATTAAAAATGATATAAAAAATATAAACTATGCTATTAGTCATCATGCAAGTCATCATGAATAGGTCTTGCAGAATATTGCTTAAGCAACTTAAATACTATACTCTTTGTTCTAAAGCTATGTTGAATTCTAAAATACCATTAGAATGTAGAGAAAGAGTTTTTGGACGTTATATTATTAAATACATGAAATTAAATCAATATTATAAGTATAATATTGATATATGTATATATTTAATTAATTTACATAATTAGAACTAATTTTTCTAAAATTTTTCTTTACATTATTATAATCTATGCATAGATGTAAAACAATTTTTATAACAAAAAATATTGAATTATAATTAAAAAGTATTTTTTACTAACTACCTAAATTTATCTTTTATAAGATGTTGGCATATCGAAATTAATAAGGCTACTATTGTAGCTTTGTAATTATTTTAATTTAACAATTAATAATAGTGCATATAATATTGTAGAATTAATACTTTTAAATTGAATCTTTAAATAAAAATTTGTTCAATAGGTAAGAATCGTGCGGCAGCGTGTTGTCAACGCCTGTCAGAGCTGAACAATTACGTGCCTACTCGTCACTACTCTGGTCCGCTGAACGAGGCGTACATCCAACAGTTCAAGGTTGTGGTGTTGACGGAAACACCACTAGCCGAGCAGCTACGCATCTCGCAGATTACTCGCGCCAACGACATTGCCCTAATACTTGCCGATACCCGTGGCCTCTTCTCGCAGGTATTCTGCGATTTCGGTGAGACATTTACAGTGGTGGACACAAATGGCGAATCGCCGGTGAGTGCGATGGTCGCCAGCATCTCCCGCGATAGTGAAGGCGTTGTCACGTGCCTGGATGATACTCGCCATGGTATGGAAGATGGTGACTATGTGACTTTCTCCGAAGTGCAAGGCATGACCGAATTAAATGGGTGTGAGCCGATTAAGATCAAAGTGCTGGGACCATACACTTTCAGCATTGGCGATACTTCCAGGTGAAGCATACAGGCATCTTATAAGTATTTTCCTAGGACTTAAAAAGATCTCACATTAATTATGCAGAAAATGGAGTTCTGGTGAAATAATAAGTTTTTACATATAATGTAGATATATATATAATGTAACGAACAAAAGATGCTATAGACACAAGGTTTAATAATGGATAGTGTTTGAACTATATTGTATCGAAGGTACTTTATGAGTACAATTTTACACTTTTGATACATAGCAAGAATTATTCATTATTAAGTGTCTATGGCATCTTTTGTTTAATTTATACATTATAAATTATATTATATGTGTGAAAACTACTTCTGATTACTACTACTGAGATTATGTGTGAAAACTTATTTCATCAATTTTCTATATAATTAGTGCGAGGAATATATATAGACCTTAATTAGTTAATTTTTACACTGTTTAATAATTCTCCATTATTTTTATCAAAAGAATTAATATTATAATATACCTAATTAGTATAAGAATATATATGTATTTTGATGAGACCTATTCGATTAATCTAATCAAACAAATTAAATATCTCCAGATTCACTGAGTACATGCGCAGTGGTATTGTGACGCAGGTGAAGATGCCAAAAACTTTGCACTTTACGCCATTACAAACTGCTCTAAAGAAACCCGAGTTCCTCGTCACGGACTTTGGCAAATTTGATTATCCGGAACAGTTACATCTGGCCTTCCTGGCACTACATCAATACATGGCTGATAGAGGCACATTGCCGCGACCATGGAACCAGTCAGATGCTGACGAGTTTATTGCCATCGCTGAACAAAGCAAAGCCAGCTATGGCTTTGATACCGAAATTAATGGCGAATTGTTACGCACGTTTGCTAAGGTGTCTGCTGGCGATTTGAACCCCATGAATGCTACGATCGGTGGTATTGTTGCCCAAGAGGTGATGAAAGCCTGCTCCGGCAAATTTCACCCCATCTATCAATGGATGTAC